AACAAAAAATTTAAATATTTCATTTCATTTTCATTCATAGCTGGTAAGANTTGATTATCTAAAATACCTCAACAATCATGTTTTATAATGTCTAAAATTTGAAAAAGGGCTAGGATTAAATTTTGTTCAAAGTATTAATACTATATTTTTTGCCTTATAAAATGCACTATTGTATTGTATGCATCCCATTTTTCATGTTAATTTTTTGAGGAAAAAATATTCTTTGCAGGATGAATGTACTTAAAATTTATCTGAGAAATAATAAAAACAGGCATCTTATAAAGCAAAAAACAGTAGTTTAAGATCTACAATGTACTATGATCAGCAAAATAGTAAGGAAGTCAACAAGTTTGTTTGATTTAATAAATTATTAAAGATTGTGTTTAGAAGTCTGATAATGATAACAATTTTTCAGACAATGTGCATATCTTATAAAGCTTGTTTCTTGGTACTAGAGGATAAATGCTATAATATAAAAATAAAATATGTGGCACTAACTTCTTAAATTCATTCAATATAATCTCTTATTTACCATTTCATTATTCATTTATGGTTATTATTGATAGAGTTGTGTGACAAGACAGTTTAATTAGAATTTTTTTTTGCAAAATTTCTACATTAAAATAAGTATATGGAGAAGGCACAATTTCCAAAAAATAAATTTATTGTTGGTTTAAAGTTAAACTTTAAAAAGTAAAGGAGACTTTAAAAATAAATTCAAAAATGTCAATGTTATTCAAGGAAAGATAAACATGATAATTACATCAAGAACAGAACAAACATGATCAGATTTGCAATGTAATTATAATTTTTGGGTTGCAATTTTCAAATTGCAACCCAAAAATTATAATTACATTGTAAATCTATGTTCCCATGTAAATCTATGTTCAGACCTATGTTCCCATTGTCATCTGTCTGTCCTTCAATAATCTTGAGAACATTAGACAGATTAAACTGACAAGTGAGATACACCAGATAGAGAAAGCTTAGGGGCTGGAGGCCCAATTAACTATATATGAACTTCTGGTCTGGAAGGCATATGATTTTTTAAATTAAAAGATGATTAAAAATTGCAGCTTGGCATTGTGATGATGTCACAATAAAAACTGCTCATTGAGATTACTTCATTGTTTTGAGCAAAAGAAAGGAACTCAAAAGATTAATCCTTAAAAATAAAGAAAAGAAACTCTAACGAAGTAATCTTTTCTGGTTTTGAGTTCATCGGTTTCTTTTAACAGTATGCAAGAAATTTTGTTATTAATTCTTTGTTCAAATGTATACGATTTTAAAATTGAATAATAGATGTTTAGTAGATATGCAATAAATGAAGTAAACAGTTTTTCAAAAAGAAATAAACAATAAAATTTGATCTCTGTTGTTTGATCTCTTTCTTATACTTGTAAATGATTAAAATTAAACTTCTAAACAAAAAATTTAAATATTTCATTTCATTTTCATTCATAGCTGGTAAGAATAGTTTAATTAAAAATATCTTTTTTAATTTAACCAAGTTTTATTCGCTGAAATAAATGCAAACATTTTATAATAATGGACAGTACTTTCCTTAATAACTATTAAAATACAATTTATATTTATTTAATTAATTAAGTAGAAATTAGTTTTATGCTATGTTAAAAATAGACTGATTTATTATATATATATATATATATNAAAGATTCAATCTGAATTAATATTTCTGAATGATGACAACAATTCTTAGTGTCTTAACACTTGCATACAATTTGAAATTGCAGAAGAAATAGCATTTTATTTGATAATGGAAAAAAACCTGTAAAGTATTTTAATATGAGATGTGATAATTTGAAACAGGTGTTAATTTAAAAACTCAAATGTAAACAGATTTAATCAGGCTTAGAGTACTTTTAATTGCATGACATTGCAATTCTGGGTACTTATGGGTTAAGAGGATGCCAGTAGGAAATAGCGATCAAAGTTGCAATTTTGAATGAAAATATCAAAATAACAATAGACTAGTAAATTTAAATCTAAAAAGAAGAAAATTTACTGATAAGGTTGTAAAAATGAAAAAAAATTAATTAGGATGATAGATATTACCTATTTGCCATATACACTACAAAACAATTTGCATATTCAAGTGGTTTATTATTACAATTTGTGAAATTTTGTTATATCTTTATAAATCGTAATTTATTGTTTGATTTAACAATTGTATTAAATTTGACAAATAAAAAATTGCATTATTCGGAAAAAATGCTATTTCCAACTGGCGTCCTCTTAACCCATAAGTACCAAATTCTGAATGTTTCTGAAGAAGTTTGAAATGTCAAACAAAAGTACTAGGAGCTTGATTAAATATGTTTATATAAGTTTTTAATATCCATTTCAAATTATCACATGTTTGTATTTAATTAATGTGGTGTACACAAAAGCCAACCACTGCTGTATGCCATCGGGCTATATGTATAGGGTTTTTGTAGTATTGTTTGTGGTGTACACAACCTCTAATTTCGTAAACAATTTAAAAAGTAAAACTTTGACAGATAAAATGAGATCCTATTCACATGATCATAGTATGAGACAATTAGATTACTTACAGCTAATAGATCAAATTGTTGTAGGATAAGAATGGAATAAATTATTTGGAACATGAGTAACTTTAATATTTTTAATATATCAAACTGATGTTTTTACCTAATTTTCGATATTTTTTGTCAAATAGACTTGCTTTGATAAATATATAATGCTATATTCATTATTATAATAAATAGATAACTTATCTTACAAATCTGCAGCCTTTTGTGGTTTCTACTATGGTCTGGCAACAATTATAAAATGGTGTAAGTTGTTAATTTTGTTGACCTGAATTTTGAGTTATGAATGAATGTTTTTTCAATAAAGCATTATTTAAATACAATTTAAGTATATCTTTCTGTTGTATATGTATACTGAACATACATATGCAACCTGCTATATAATGTATGGATTTATGAGATACCTCTGAAATGAGATATGGTCTTCTAATTAAAAAGGATTTTTTACCTCTATTCTAGAATGTTGAAATACTTTAACTCTCTCAAACAGAATGAAAATGGAGTGATATCTAAATTTTTTATGGTTAGTCATTTCCATGAAAAATGTTTTATTAGTCTTATTACAACAAATTCTTATACAATCTCCAAAAATCTTCTTCCACCCTGTAAAAATGCAGCAATGCATTTTTACAGGGTGGAAGAAGATTTTTGCTAAATTATATAGTTATTTTGCTTCTTTAGAATATATTAAAGTCTTTCAAAATGTTTAATATAAAAATGATGCAATAGAAAATTGGACAATAGTAGTTGATGTTTCATAAAATTAGACTACACTAAACAAATGCATGAATTTGCTTATTAAGATGATAGATAAGAAAATTCAAATATTTTGAATATTTCAGATTTATTCATATCAATATCTGGTGAAATTTTCTTATATATATATTCTTTTTTAAATATCCTATGCATAAATGAATTATAGGAACAATATATCAGGTAGTTATAATTAAACCTACCTATTGACTGCTTTCTGAAGATAGATTTAATGTAAACTGGAAGATATATTCTCTAGAATGTACAGCAAACAATTCTGTAAGATATTAATTTGAGTTTTAACCATCTGAAGAAAAATGGAACCATCATTTACATCCAGAAATTTCTCCTAATGACAACACTATTCAGAAATGTGTCATTTGCATCTGGAAATATGCCTACTACTTTACCAAATTTTCTTAATAAATACTTACTAGCAAAATCATAAATAAAGCTGTAACTTTTTGAAATGTAACATTATGGAAAATTATTTTATTGATCCTACATCATCTCATGCCAACTTATCACATTATGATAAGAAATATGGTAACATCTTACATATTTTACGTTTACAAAAGCTAAACAGAATCACCATTTTATAATATATGGCGATCCCGTATGGCATAAAAACAGCTTAATAAAAATCTGACAATGCTATTACTCTTTGGTAAACAACTTTGAATACAGTAAAATTAAAAATATATTTTAAAACTGTAATTATAAAACTTCTTTCTTAATACAAGATTAAGGTTCCTTTAGCTTAAAAAATAATTTAGATAAAATGATGAAAGAAAAAGTGAATTTATAGGTTAATGATATATTATATTTCAACATATTATGCTAAAATACATACATACATACAAATATATATATATTCATGCATTAGATTAGAAAATCCAGTATTAATAATAATAATAATTTTAACAGATACAAAATAAAGAAAATATGTCATAATAAAAACAAGGAAACTGCCTCACAATTAGCTGAACATGCATTTAAAATCAACAAACAGGAAAAAATAAAACTTATCATAATTCGAAATCAAATGAAATGAATATAATAAAGAAAAAGAATTCAAAAATCAAAGATTAAGTAAATATTGAAAGTAGACAAAGCCAAATTCGGTGGCACATTTTAAGTTTTGCGGGGCCTCCCACAGTCATTGTCGACTTCGGATATTTTTCTCCCAGGGAATTTTTTATAGATTGGTTTGCAGCCTCATTGGTGGGGACCCAGGTAACTGATCTTTTTGCCCATAGAATAACACACCACTGACTAAATAATTATTTATTCAACAAATTACACCATCACAGAAATGAGAAACTGTCAAGTAAATTATGCTAAAATTTCAGCATTTCCCACATATTATTACTAATGTATACATAATAACGATGGCCCAATTTCATAATTATAATATCCATATTGTAAATGACATTTTGTGTATTTTCAATGTGTTGTAAGCTTTTATCATAAGAATTTAAAATAGAACTATAGAACAGTAATCAGGGATAATGTATATATATTTTTAATGTTGTTTTTTAAAGTTATTTCTTCATAAATTTCAAAACATTATTCAGGATTTTTAATGTAGGAATTAAATGATAAAAAATTGCCATAAATTATCATTAAAATAATCTATAGCTTTACTAGAATGCTTATGGAATAAAAGCATACCTTATTAGACGGAATAGAACGCAAACGTTTGAAAATTGTAGCGATATCTGATTTTGTCAACACATCTGGCTGATCAGACATTTTGTCTTTTGATGACGATGATTAACGATTTAGCGCCATCTGCATCTGCACGTTCGAAGAAATATTTAGGAAAATATAATCAAATAAAATGTAAATAATTAACTTAATTATAAGTATTTTATAATTATTTAAAAAATTTATATGAGAAATTAATTATATTAAATAAAATTTAATATTTTTATAAACAATTAGTTTTAATAAATTATTTACTTCGTTTAGGAGAAAAAATAGTTTTTTTTTGTTTTTTTTTTTTACAAAATTTTAAATTAATTGGTAAATATATTTTATTATTATTACTAATCTTGCTAAAATTCTTATAAGAAAATAAATTGATTTTGTATAACAACTTATTTTTGCATAATTTATCTTAGATAATGTTGTTTATGTGGCGGTATTGATGTATGTCGTCCTCCGTAGAGGGGTTTGGATGCGAGTCCACGAGCCTTATATTTCTTCTTCCGGAATTAATATTGTTTTAAGATGTTAAATAGAAAAAAATTTATCAGATTTAAACTTAAATAAATCATCAAATAGTTTATAAATTAAAGGAATTTAAACACAAAGTAGCATCGGAGGAAATGTGAATGTCATTCGCCAACAAAGGCTGGATCAAAAATTTCAAACAAGACACCAACAAGAACGTCTGGTATATAAACAAAACAGAACTAAAATTTATTTTAATCGAATTCACGCTTACAAGACCCCTTTCTTTTCTTTTCCAAGATTATCATCGTCCAGCGATTGTTTCCTCCCTATTTTTTTTCCTCGCGTCGCGAAAGAACGAAAAATAATATCCGTTCACGCATTACAATAATTATAAACTAAAGCTACGGTAAAACTATTTTAACAACAATTACCTTAACAACTAAAACACGAAGAAGATAGAGATAGAATAAGAATAGAAATACCTGGAATATTTTTTTCTTTGTGTAGTTCCTTTGTGATGACGAGGGGTCCACCGAGAAATCTAGGCATAAAGTTCCATTTTTTCTATATGCGCAATAAGCTTTCATGCCTTCCTTTTTTCCTGTTCTTCTCTACTCGTTACAAGAGTTCACTACACAATCCTGGGGCTACGCTTGAGTCACCTGTCACACCTTTCGGCCACTACACAAGATGTTGCCTCTTCTTTAAATCTGCTTCTAGCACTTCCGCCGATCATTTTCTCGGTTTGAGTGAAAAAAAGTCCGTCCTCTTCTTCTTCGAGCGAAAAGTACAGGGCCGCCGTAAGCGGGCGTGCAAGGCGTGCACCGCACGCGGGCGGCACGTCCAGGGGGCGGCAAAGAGCCTTTCTGGCAAGCTCAGCATAGGTAATCGTAGTTAAACAGGGGGCGGCATAATCGGTATTGCACACGGGCGTTCAAACAGCTAGCGGCGCCCCTGGAAAAGTATCTGCGACTTTCTTCCCAACATCTCACGTGACTTCCCTTTTCATTGTTTCCGATGGTTCCAGGAACGGACACCCCTTGGTGACTGATGAAAGAACAAAACAAGACAAAGTTCTCGAAAAAGAAGGAATAAACAACAAAGAGGAATACATTAGGCGTAAAAATAAAGCAAACAATATGGCTGGCAGCTACAGAAATGATGTTATGACGATATTACGTTGTAGTACGCTGAAACTTTTTACATGATGTATGATGCCCTTTTTAATAGCTTGTGCTCCCTTTCCTATAGCCTGCGGCAACAAACGTCAGTACTCGAACGTCTAAACGTATACTATCCGTCATATGGAACCGTTTTATAAAATTAAATGCTGTTATCTATAAGGCAAGGACGCCCGTACATTGGGGCACTTGAGACACGTGCTCCCCTCGGTTGTCTTTTCTTTAGTTATAGAACTTCATCGTATATTGACCAAAACCCTATTCCTTGTTTTCGAGACCCAGTGCAACCGAACCACCTTGTGGGAACGATGATCTCACGTTGAATCACAGTTTGAAGTAATTCGAAAACGACAACGCGGCATCTGTCCCAGTTTCGGCGTGAATGCCCCGATTTAAAACAGAACTCCTACGTCCCACTTTATTACTCAGTCGATAACTGATTGATTTATATATATTATTACGATATATATTACAACGTAAAATATAATTTTATATTTTACGTTAATAAAACTGTTCAAAAACATTTATTATATTGTATATATATATATAAATACTGTATATATAAAACTTTATTTCATATTTTAAAACGAGTAGTTACATAAAACCATATTTGTATTTCATTTATGATTATAAGCATTTAAACACGAAATCGGTTTAACTCGCTTTGGACACAAAAGAGCTTATTTTCGTTTTTAGATGTCAGAGTTGTTGGTAGAGTTTTTTTTTTAAACAAAATGCATTTATTATTTGTTTTATAAGTTAATATATAGCGCCTGTGCAGTAATGTATATTAATTATATTTTATCGTATTACTAAATTTATTGTTATAGCACTCTTTAAACGGTTCTATACTAATTTTCGTTCGTATTTTTACATAAGATTGTTACTCGGATTTTTAACAATTTTTGTCAAAATTTCGTTTCATTTAGTTTTAAAATTAAATCGTCATTTAATTATATTTTGCCAATTTCTTTCTTACATATATTACAGTGGCGTAATATATATAAAAATACGGAGAACGCCCACACGACAAATTTTATATGTTGTCATATGTGCGAGTTGTCGCGTAACGTGCGTAATGTACAATACTGTACGATGCATTTTTTTAATAGTTTGTGCCTTCCCCTTTTTAATAGGCTGCGGGCACAGTTGTCTGTAGGGCTTTTCGGCCCTCATAAATGGAAATAGGAATGAAATTCGTATAGCTTATTAATCACTAGATTCAAAAACTAAAATAAATAAATAAGACCAAAAATTAATTAATTAAATATTAAATTTTCCTATCTTTTCCAATTAACGCATAACAAACAAACTCAACAATTGATCTTTCATTGTTTTGCTTTATTGTTAAGAGTGCGATTTTTCGAGAGAATTTGGAAAATGATTTTTGATTCTGGCGATTATCGACCCTTGCCTCAACTCTTGGGGTAAGAAATTTTTCACTTTTAATTCTTATTTATGCAAATTAAAAATTCATTGAAGAAATTAAAAGATTTAAATATAAATTTCTCGGTTCAAATTATAATTAATTAAATTAAATGCACAGATTTCGACTCGGATAGTTCTGGACGTAGTTTTTAATCAGTTTTGTGGAATTCACAATGACCCGTAGTAGGATTATTGCGTGGATGTATATGTGTGATTACCACGATATCCAAATATCACTTAAAATTAGGTTTATATACAATTATAGATACAAAATTTACAAGATACGCGTTTGGACCACATAGAAACACCTCTGTGTCTCAGGCGAACTTCTAGAATGGTGGTTAGATTTCGAAACAAAGTTTGTTCTGCTGTCAAACACGCGAAACTGAAATACCTCCCAGGCGATGTCAGGTGATTAATTTGTCCAAACACAAAGTCCGAAATATCCAACACGCATTTCCTCCGATGGAAACGGATTCTCCCTATTAGCTTATATCATAATAGTCTTTGTCCACCACTTCAGCTGCCACACGCAGTTCCAAGAAAACCAGTCACACAGACGAAGTCGTGGATGAGAACCCAACAAGGGCGACAACGGCCAACCAATAAAAGCCACCTTATTCTTCTTCTCCCACTGGTTCATATGGAGATAACAGCCTTAGTGTGCTTTTTCTCCGATGAGTGGCGCTACCTATTTACGTATATGATTCTCTGGAAAAGATACCTTACCACTCGGTGCTCTCTTAAATACCCCTCTCCCGTTGCATCAGTGCTGCCAATCCTAACAAGTAGAAACAAACCAAAAAAAAAAAAAAAAAAAATACAGTATGTATAGCTCAAAACACTAAATTAACACTGCAATGGCACAGTTTTCAACTGAAACATTTTTTGTGTTCGCTGTATTTATAATCGCTTCGGTGTCCAAAATGGAAGGTTTCATTTGCATGTGTGACCTTCCGGGTCGGCACCTCCTTAGTGCCCAGTCAGGATTGACACCACCGTGTTTAGAGGAACACGGAAGCCGAGACGGCGATTTCGTCGTCCGTCGCGCGAGCGGTCCCGTACGCGAACAGTCGGATTCGACAGGTCAGAGTTAACATAGGGAAGAGACTCGAACTACCCTTAACAATCAACAAAGGGTTTATTAAAAATTTAAATGGAATAAAGTGTGGTCGCGGAGAGAGAGAGTTTACATACGATTCGCGTGGCGATAAATACCTGACAGGTTATCTTATGGATCGAGGTCTTCAAACCGCTGTTGACGATGTCACTTCCAAGTTCTGGGTTACGGAAATATCCAAATAGGCACTTAAGTTCGTTGTT